ACGGCCAAATGTCCCCTAAGGGCAGAATCACACCAGTTGGGAACAAAGGCTTTAGGGTTTTCTAACCCGCCTGCCTGCCCATGTAGTTCTCAACACGTCCAGCAAACACCTGATGCCACAGGTGCACGCAGCCTTCTCACGACAGGCCACACTGCCGCCTCTCCATCTTCTGGATGGGACCCTCGCCTTGCACCAGCATCTCCTATATTGTGTTGCTGCTGCCACCCCCTCTGTCCTTGGCAGCAAGATCAGTCGCCTTGCTTCCCCTTCCATTTCCTCTTCTTTTCCCTTTTCCGATCCCTTCTTCCCTCCCTCCCTTCGACACTGGGGAGTGAATCAAGGGCCTTTGGACTGAGCTATATCCCGGGCCCTTCAAAAAATTTTCTTTTTGACACTGGGGCTCGCTGAGTCACTAATTTTCCCAGGCTGGGTTTGAACGAGCCACCCTCCCGCCTCAGTGTCCCAGAGTGCTGGGATTACAGGTGAGCTCCACCAGGCCCGGCTCAGGCCAGGCTTTCTGAGCCCTGTAGGCTGTGCTTCCCCATCTCTCGCCCTCTGCACCACACACGGCCAGCCCTCTCCCAAGGCTTTGGAAACCTCACCGGTGGGTACTCGTCCTCACCAGGTCTTCGGTGGCAGGGAGAGACCAGATGCTCATCAGAGTCCTCTCCGAAGGGGGCCACTGGGCCAGAGCACCCTGTCCATCAGGAGATGCAGGGCAGAGGCCGAGGTTGTTGGTTGGGGGCTGCTGTGCCGAGCAGGGCTCGCGCTAAGACTTAGGGGCTTCGCAGACAGCATCAAAACCAAGCCTGTGTCACCTCCTGGGACCTAGCACCTGGCAGGACTGCCTTCAGTTGTTTAAGACCACAGCTGTGCGCTGGCCTTCGCTGTGTCCCTGCTATACTTCAAGCTCCGAGGCTGAGGACAAAGCGGCCCCCTCCGCGACATCCCCTGAACACGGCACCACCGCCAAGGCAGGGCTTTCCGCAGAAGAGCCTGCTGGAATGAGGTGGACGAGCTGAGTGACAAGATGCGGCCACTAAGGCTCTATTTTAAAACAGTCCTGCTGGATGAGGGGAGAACAGTATCTGACTTGTAAAATAAGACAAATTTTTAAAAATGAACATTGTGAAAGATTAAATTGTACTTTAATAGAGCCGAGGAGGAGGTTTAGTAAAGAAAGGGGGCCTTGGCTCTGACGTCCAGTCAGAGAGCTTTATCATTTTATCGCTCTCGGATCAAATTTCAATGAAGGATGCTAAAAATTAGGGGGGAAAATATTTTAATAAGGTTCTGATAAAGTCCTCAGAGATGAAGATTGGTCCTTATTATGGTTCATATGTGGATGTCCCTCCAAAGCTTCACGCTCTCAATAGGTGGAGCTTTGGGAAGTGTTTGGATCATGGGGGTGTGATGCTCAGCAGTGGATTAGTCCACTGATGAGTTTAGAGCTAAATGTGATGTGGGGAGGTGAAGCCTGGTTGGAGGAGGCGGGTCATGGGAGCGTGGCCAGGAAGGATCTATCTCCCTCCTCCTCTCTTGATCACTTTCTCCACTTCCTGCTGCCATGCCATAGGCTGTTTCTCCTTTGCCATGCAGCCCTGCCTGAGGGACAGGCAACTACAGACTGAAACCTCTACAAACTGTGAGGCAAATAACCCTTTTCTCCTTTAATTCATTCACTACAGGGCTGTACATATACAAAACTATCTCATCCAGTGGTTTGTACCCCCTGCTAGGACACTCATGCATGGGCCACTGGTGACTCAACCCAGAGGGAACGTGTTAACTTGTGTATTTTGTCCCAGTAATGAGAAAGTAACTAAAACAGTCTTCAAGGAGAAGAGCGATGATGGTCGTCCTTTTTCCCAGAGGACCGCAGACTTGGCTATCTGGAAGGATTCCACTCGTTGGCTACTTGGGTACCCTGCCAACTCAGAGCAGAAAGCTGGGGGCAAAGGGAGATCTCACACGAGTGTATGTGTATGGGTGTGTGTGTGTGTGTGTGTGTGTGTGTGTGTTTGGGAAGCGCGCAAAGGACTCCCTGGCCATCAATGGGATGTAGAACAATGGCTCCTCCCCAAAGACACCCATGGCTCCTCCCCAAAGACACCCATGGCTCCTCCCCAAAGACACCCACACTCATCCCCGAAACCTGTACACCCACATGTAATGGGAACTTGTAGATTCGATTAAGCATTAGCTGTGATTAAGATGTGATCATGAACCCTGAGCGGGGGAGATTACCTGGGAAGATCTGATGTAATCACGAGTCCTTAAAGGCTGACAACAACCTCCCCTGACTGGAGTCAGAGAACGAGGTGAGGACAGCAGGGATGGAAAGAATAGAAGCATGCAGGAAAGAAGAGGGATCTGAACCCACAGAGGGACCCCGTCAATAAGCTGGGGACCAAGGAATGTGGGTGGCTTTGAGAAGTGGGGAACAGCCCTCAGGTGGCAGCCAGCGAGAAAACCAGAACTTAGTCCAGCAGCTGCAAACAGCTGAACTTGGCCAACAACCAGAAGCAGGGAACAGATGCTCACCTAGAGCCCCCAGCAAAGAGCAGCCCCAGGGACCCCTAGAGTTCAGCCCAAGAGACCCCTCTGAGGCTGCAGCCCCACACATCCTAAGGAAATACATGTGTTGCTTTAAGCTGGTGTATCCATGCCACATCAGCATTAGACAACAAATGCAACACCGCTGGCAAAATTGAAGTACTGATGTTTTTCTAAAATGGTTTAAAGGTACAGACAGGCATCGCTTGGGGCTGGGGTGCAAGGTGGAAAAAAGGTGGCTTTTGGAACAACAGCCGTTTTGTTTGTGTCTGAGCAGCCCAGCAGGCACTGCCTCCCCTCAAACAACTGCAGCGGTAATAAGAAAATCACAGTGGCTGCTCTATGGATAATAATGCAATTATGTCTCAAAAGCCAGGCATATAAGGGCATAATTAACTGAAGTACAGATTAGATGCACAAAAATCCTGTGTTTTTCCCTCAAAAGAGAGGAAAAAGACCTCTACTCCAGGAATTGGGACCAAGACCCTACTCAGAGGATTTATTGGGCAATTTAGCTATCAGGTTTAACATCATTATGGTGAAAGAAGAAAAAGAGAAAAACTTTTAAAACAGCTCTGCCTCTGAAAGCCCTTCATAAGCTTTCCCTTCGAATTGACTTCTTTTTTTTTGCTTATTGAAAATGTGTAATAAGAACTTGCATCTTCCCCTTAAAGACAGAAGAGTATGAGTTCAGAAAAGCCTGCATGAGACATCTATGCACAATAAAAATTTTCAAAAACTAGCTTTGCATTCGAGTATCACCTAGAGTTGGCGATTTGTGACACATGCGGCATTTATTCTACAGATGTGTATTGCACGACTACCGGGCCGTGCAGTGGTTAAGCGTGGCCACAGTGGGGTGGGGGCGTCCAGGTGGGCATGGTGTCTGCGAGGAGATTCTGAGATGGAGACAAAGACATAAATACCCAGCCCACCAGCACATGCGTGCTGCCGAATACACAGCCGTTCATTCACACATGCACACACAAACACTACCTTTTCTGGAGAGAACATGTGGAAATTATTTTCATCTAAAGACTCAGGGTAATCAAGCTCAGCAAGCTAGAGGACTACAACATGATCGGGTTTCTCTAGACAGGGATGTTTGAAAACATTTGGCAAACATTAGGTCAATCTGACAAAAATGACACTTTTACAATGGGAAAAAAAGGCAAATAAATGCACCGCTTTTAAACTGAGGTAAATTAAGCATTAAAGCCACAAAGGTCTAGTTCTTCCTCTTTCCCAACCCTTCTTCCCTAGTCAGGGGTGGAGACACCCGAGGGACCCTTCTGGCGAGCGCCCACTCGCCATTTCAAGGCTGATGTCACTATCATCGGGTTCTTCAAAGTACTAGCAAAATTAAAAACAACTCCTAAAGGAAAAAAATTACTCAAGATTGGGGATTTTCAAAGTAGTAATATTTTGATATCTTTTTTTAAAACTGTAAATTTGAATTTGACAAGAAAAGCAAACACGTGGGCAGCTGCCCTCAGTTTACCATAAGTGCTTGCAAACAGGCAGACAGAAAAAAGGATGAAATATATGCAACAACTGATTTTGACAGACAGTGTGATATGTGTAGAATAACAACAAAAGGTTATTATAAAAGCGGGGTTTTTTGTTTTTATTTTTTGAGACCAGGTCTCACTATGTAGTCCAGACTGGCCTTAACCTCAAAAATCTCCTGCCTTGGCCTCCCAAGTGCCAGGATTACAGGCATACATGCCATGCCCAGCTCAGAGAACTGATTTTCAAATATTACTTTGTAACACAGTCACAGCTCATGAAAGTAGGGAGGAAAATGTGAATGCTTTTTGTGGACATTTTTCCAATCAAAACAGCAAACAGTCCCCCAATTTAGAAGGATAAATTCCTCTGAAGGGTGAGTATCTCCAGAGCAAAAAAATGGCAATAAAATTTCATAAAGACAGAAAAATCAAGAAAAAGAAAAAGAGTTTTAAGGTTGGCCAACTGACACTACCTCCGGTCCCTTACTGGGGAAGGCAGACAGCTCCAGGTGACTTCCAATAAGGAACAAAGAGTAGATTCACAAGGAGAAAGAAGGAGCCAGGCATGAAAGCACACACCTGTGATCCTAGCAGTGGAGGCTGAGGCAGGAGGACTGCTGGGAGTTTGAGGCCAACCTGGGCTGCAGAGCGAATTCAAGGCCAGCTTGAGCCAAATGGTGAGACCCTGTCTCAAAAAACCAAAAAGAAGAAGAAACTGGGCTGATTCCCTCAATGTGCAGAAAGAAGACCTGTCCACAGATAATGAATCTTCTCTTAAAATTCGTCATCAAACACTAGAAGATGGTTCGCTGAATCAGGTTTCTAATCTGGAAGGCACGGTGTTATCAGAGGCTCTCAGAAGGCAGCAAATATTCCACGAGAGCAGAATCAAGCACTCGACTCAACTCTGTTGAGGGTCTGGAGGGGACTTACGTATATCTGGTTTCTCCTGTAGCGCTGGAACAAGTTGTACATGATGGAACCGCTGTGCAGCTCTGAGAGGGAGGCCATGTCGTCCACGCCCTCCTCGTGTGCAGGGTGCATAGCTGTCACCTTCTGCTGGGTGATTGTGCTCTGCTTGTACGTGAACACCTGCGGGAGGAGAGGAATTCGGCATTTAGTTGCCAGTGAATGGTTTCACTGACACTTCCCCAGCTGACTCTACAATGTCAGTGCAAAGATGCTGAGCAAAAAGGACACCGGAGATCAGGTATGGTGGTGCAAATCTGTCAACCCAGCATTCAGGAGGCTGAGGCAGGAGGACTGTTGTGAGTTCAAGGCCGGCCTGGGCTACACAGTGAGTTCAAAGCCAGGCAGAACTATATAGGGAGACCGTGTCTCAAAAACCAATTAAGAAAAAAGAAACAACATTTTCATTTTCTTTATGTCACCTATATATTCCTAAAGGAAGCTATTGTTCTGATAGTTTCTATTAGGTGTCCCTAAAACTCACCCATTTAAGTACAAACCATCCTTCAGAGTCATAGAAATTATAAATTGACCGTTCACTGGTCTGTATTTCTCCAATTGATATAAATCAGTAACACTTATTAAACTGGCTAGTTTTAGAAAATAACTTGGTTTCCCTACATAATGTTCCACACTGGTTCATATGGTAATTTCAAACTTCAAAGTAACGTGTTAAGTATTACATAATTTAAGTAGTAAGTTAAATATTACATAATTCATATTCATCACATCAACATTCTATACATCTGTTCAAAGACTGGAACACATCGTCATATCAATGTTTAGAAAATACCCTTGGTTGGCCAGGTCTGGTGGTGCATGCCTGTAATCCTAGCACTTGGGAAGCTGAGCTAAGTCCATGAGAGTGAGGCCAGCCTGGGCTACACAGTGAGTTCAAAACCACCCTAAACTACATGGTGAAACCGAGAGAGAGAGAGAGGGAGAGAGAGAGAGAGAGAGAGAGAGAGGGAGGGAGGGACACACCTTGGACACCATTCCCTCTCTACCTACACACACAGCATACATGGGATTTTTAAGCAAAACAGATCTATTCTCAGATTTCCTGTGTTTATATGACATCCGAGATTCCTGAGCATTCCAAGCAACAGCCGTGAGTGCTACTCACATGTTGTTCCATGTATATAAAGTGACCCTGATGCGGCAGGACCAGTTACAGAGTTTACATACATTTCCAAGGGTCTACTCGCTGATCTTTTATCCTAATTGGTTTGACAGAAGATTCACCACATCAAGTTCAGCTCTATCAGTTGACCAAATTTGACCATACAAGCACACTGGTCAAATCATCTGATCTTCGTATTCTCCCTTTTTTGGCAGTATCCACAGTGGAACCCAGGGCCTCCCGCATTCAGGCCAGTGCTCTCCCACGGAGCCCCAGCTCCTATGTCAGCAGCCTTTACGCTACTTGTGTGGCAATCATCTTCTGAGTAACATGAAAATGCCAAGAGGTTAAAAATAAAAACTGAGGATGCACACAGCCCTCACATGTGCAGACTTGATGTACATACATGCAACAGTTCTCTGGAGTAATGTTTCCAGAACTTTTGACTGGGGATTCTATTTTTAAGTATCAGCCAGCTGCCTACATGGTAACAAATGACATATTATTGCAAAAGAGAATAACACGCCAGGAATTAGAAAACTACCAATCCAATGGCTTTCTTTCATAAGCCATGAAGTGGCATGTTTTGTCTTTCTAAAAATCACAACTTCAGCAGGGGTATTTGTACCAGAGGAGCCACAAAAGCTGATCACTCCAGTCCTGAGAAGCCGCTCCAGGCCAGGCAGGGATGCGCCTGTCTCTGCTGGGGAAAAGCCCCCTCCCCAGCTGCTCCCTGGCTGGTACCCACCCGCGATGGCACAGCACTCAGAGGCCAGCAGAGGCCAGGAGGAGGGTGGGCACCGGGGGCTGGGCCACTTCCGGTAGAATGAGAGGCAGGAAAAGGCTCAGAAACACTTGGCCTTTCCTTTCCAGTCAGAGACACCATGGAAAAAGTTAAAAAAGCAGAGACTTTGGCCCAGGTAGACGTAGCCTGGGTGCAACGCAGGAATCCCAAGACCCCTGCACTTGCCCAGCTGGCTTCATTCAGTGACACCAATCCGGGCGCGCAGGCCCTTGGTTCTCCCACCGAAAGTGACCATAGTGGCCAAGTCACCCCTAAAGCTGTCTTGCGGACAGGGGCGAGGGCCCGGAAGCCAGCACAACCATCTCCCAGGGAAAAGCACGCTCAGCAGCGCCAGGTCCCTCCCAGGACTTTTTCCACCTCTTACTGCTCCGAGCACACTGAGCAAGCCAGAATTGGAAGGCAGAAATGGTTCTGACTATTAAAAGTTGCGCCTGTTTTATACTGATTCTGCTTTCTGGAAATAATCACGTATCTCCAACAACACTGAGTCTCACACACGTAGGCAACACATAGAATGACGACATTTTTATGACACACAGAACATTTCAGTGTCTTTTCTAAGGCACTGGGCATGAGTGCAAATGAGCAGGTCAGAGCGGGGTTCACAGTCACTGAAAAACATGCCTGTAACCTGCGAATAGAGTTCTCGACCAGACGCTTGACTTCTGGATGTTTTCAGGAGCACATTGTCCTCAAAATGCGGGCACCTGTCCACTCAGGAGTGGGTAAGTGGAGAGAGCGGGAGCAGGGGGACTATCCCTGCTCAGAGCTTCAGAAAGAGCAGCGCTTCGGAAGATACTGAACAAAGCAGGAGATCACGAACAGGAGAAAGCATACTACGCGCCAAGATTCAGGTGGTAGCGACTCAAGGATTATTTCGTAGTAAAGTGGTGGAAAATGAATTAAACTGTAGAAAGAAAAATGTATTTGTGAAGGAAAGGCGAGGATGACCATTCATCAGAGATGTTAATATTGATAAAGATCTCAGAGAATCTGGCAGACAGAAGTAGCTCATAAATGTAGAAATCCAGAAAACTCATTCAAGCCTTTTTTCTCTGATGTTTTCTAGGTATTAGGGACAGAGCTTCCCTTCCAATGCGGGGGAAGGAAGTAAAAAACTCAAATATACAAGTAAATCTATAGTATCACAGGTGGCCGTGAGCATCTGTTAAGACGTGAAGGGGGTGAAGGGGAGCCAGGACATTTGCAGACAGCCTCGGTGCCAGGTTAGCATGGAAGGAGAAACTGCAGGGGAAAGAACAGAACCGCGCCTGCATTCTAGAGTCTGAACGCAACTCTGGCTGAATGAAAACTGATTTAATCTGAAAGATTTCAAAGGATTAATAACATCCACAACACTGCTCAAGAATTTTTAAAGAGGAGCCAGGGATTTAGCTCAGTGGTTCCGCCGCCTGCCTCGCTAGCGCAAGGTTCCGAGTTTGATCCCTGGTACCAAAAAAAAAAAAAAAAAGAATTTTTAAAGAGAGCCTCTTGATTTATCAAAGTCATTTCTATGGGCAACAATTAACTAGATATTAGTTGCATGAGATGATTCTCACACAGCAGGGGAAAAAAATTCTAAGTTTATAAAATGTGATTCTTTCTACAGGACTTTTTCTGAAAGAAGCAAAAGCCACAATACAAACAAAAGACATATTTCTAAAACCCTAACTCGGAATAAACTGAGTTACTTCAAGGGGGCAAGTACAGGAGAAAGACAGTACTGTGAAGAAGTGAGGAGACAGGGAAGAACGACAGAGAGGAAAGCAGCTCAGCTCCGAGGAATGGGCATAAACAGCTCCTGTTAGCAAATATAAACCCTCTCACAAGAGCGGCTGCATCCCACAGGACCGAACAAACAACTCAGAGAGGTTCCCAGGGCTGGGTCCGCCCCCGTCCCAAGCCCACTGACCAGATACAACGGCTTTTATTTTTAACCCGAGGAGAAGAGGTATGGCCAGGACCCCCACGCTTATGCAGCTGTTTTTATAATACAGAATGACATTTACCGTTCCTTTTATTGCAAGTCATCAGGAGTCTTGTCAGAAAGCCTACTTTTTCCATTGGAGATAAATAAAAATTTTAAAAATGTGATCGAGAGCTGGGAACTGGGATGTGATCATCGCAATTTTGGCTCACATTAGGCAGGAATTCTTTCACAGCAGTGGCTATCCATTTTGTCCCCCAAAGGGCATTTGCCTAAGTCTGGTTGTCACAGCTTGGGGGAGGGGAGTGAGCGGGGTGTTACTGACACCTGGACAGAGGCAGGAATCCCACTGAACTATTCCCTGGACCAAGGGCCAAGGCCTGGCCCCTGGGTCACAAATGCCGAGACATGGCAGTCACCATGTCCACAAGGACACTGGGCAAAACGACAGCAAGTCAAAGGAGGTGAAATTCCCACAGTACAGAGAAACAAACACATTAAAAACCACCAAGGGAATAAAACCATCAAAAGCAGCACGGGGACATTAGAGTCTAGTTTGGGATTACTGGAACCAAGTCGGGTGGTGATCGCCATGGTTCCCTGACGTTGGGCTCGACGGGATTCCCTCAGGATTTCCCAGCTGTGAGGCTTCAGGCCCAGCAGCAGGGTGCACGGTACTTCCTATCCCGAGACCTGTCCTTGCTCCTCGGGTCCACAAACCTCTTCCACATCTGGACCTCTGTCTCCCGCTCCGCTCCTCCTCCGCTCCTCCTCCGTGGTCAGCCCACATGTCACCCTCTCAGGAGACAGCAGTCTCGTGCCAGCCCTCCTTCCATCCTGACTCCTGCACTGAGAGCTTCCTGTGCCTTCTGCAATCGCACCGAAGGCGCCCTCCTGACAACACCTCCCAGGGAGGGCGCATCGCTGTGTCACTGTGCACTCCGCCACAGCTTCCTCAGTGATAGCCCACCTCGAAGGCTCCGAAAGCGTCTTGTGCTTCACGTGTTCATGGGTGTGGAGCGGGGCCTTCGGGAGGTCCCAGGACCGGATGAGGAGAAGAGGAAGAGACACCTAGAGGGCTCTTGCTCTGTCTGGCCATGGGACGCCCCACCACGGGAGGGACAGCACGAAGAGCTCACCAGACTGCAGTGCCAGGCCCTGCCCAGCCCCGCCCCACCGCAGAACCCCAAGCCTGAAAGCCAGCATCCAGACCGCAGGGTGTGAGTATTCTGCCGTAACAACAGAAAACGACCCAGACCAGCCTCTGA